AAGCGCACTAAATGACAGAGACCATCACCATTATATAACCTCAGCCAAAGTTACAGACAGTGAAAAGACTATACACTAAGTCCTGTTTGATTTACTCAAAGCATAGTTGCTGCGTGTGTGTGCTGGTCACTGATGCAACACCGCCTATGCACACACACATACATACACACAGGAAGGTATACATATTCACACAAGCCCACAACATACTTATCAGCTGACACGCAGACACACTTGCACACCAGTCTCTCATCATTTAGGATACATTTCAGGGCTGAGGGGGCAGGACTTTGGCTTTAGTCAGACAGTCAAAAAGCAGAGACCATGCAGGCCTTGGCTTCCTGCTCCACAGCTCTGATCCAGCTTGCTAACCCAGGGTGCTACACAGTTGGGGGGAAACACGGCACAGCCTTTGGGCCGGGGCTCCTCTGACCTGAATCTCTGAAAGGGCCCGTTTAAACACGGGTCTATCATCGCAGCCTTTCATTTATTTCCCCTTGCTCGCCAATTTTAGGTCAAAGCAGACAACTTGGAAGATGGACACCTGTGTTTGAGCTCAACACTGGTTTCAAGATTATCTTAAATGGCACACAGGCTACAGGTCACCCACAGTTTGAGCACCTGCTCGGTTCACGGGCTACACACACACACACACACACACACACACACACTCACACTTCAAAAGCCTGAGGTCTCTCTCATACACACACACACACACATGCGCGTTCAGTTTCTGTAGATTTGCCAAGTGCTTTTTCATTGACGGCATCGACTGGGTATTCCCTCCTCACTTGTCATCATCAGGAATATCATGTGCTGTGAAACAGTATGGATCTCTTCCACCAGACAGGAAATCTTTGGGAGTGCCCATTGATCTGAATCAACCATCCCTGGCTCACCAGCTATCAGTCAACGTCGAATTAACGGTTTTACGTTACCATGCAATGCACCAGACCCCTAGAACGACCTGGTTAATGTGAGCATGTGTGCGCACATGTAAATAAATGAAAAGAAAAGACAATTGAGAGTTTTTTTCTTTCACTCTCTCATACACAAAGACCATCAAACACGACCTCGCGCACCAACAGAGAAACCCACACTGAGAGTTACAAACTGGTCAGCCCTTTGCTGACATGGAAACACAAAGAACAGCTGGATTCTGGCTTACATGCCTTGTAAACCTGGGGAACCCAGAACAAGAACTCTCCAGCTGTTAGACAGAAACAGAGAAAACTAAATAGAGAAAGAGAGAGCAAGACACAACATCACAGGCAGCTTTTTGTCAGATGAACAGTCAATATAAAAGCCCCTGAAGCAGAGATGATTTCACTCTCTAAACGTCAATCAAAGAATCAAGGAGCCTACACATCAACCTCCAACTCTTAGCCTGTCAATATCCAAGTCTCGTGAAAGAACAGGGACTTTACACTGGATTAACAGGCAATGTTTTCCAGACAATAGGCCTCTATTCCACTAATCAACAGCATTCAGGAACAAAGTAAAGGCGAAGCACAGCAGTGTTTTCCGATGCATTAGTGGAACAGAGCGGTGATTCAGCCTGTCTTAAGTCAGTGCACTGGCAAAAACACAAATCCACAATCTTCAGCTTTGTCAAACAAAGCTTCACGATTCGGAAACACAACAAGGCTGTTACTCCAAACCCTGCTGTGATGGAGACATTCAAAAGGGAGTTCTACATTTTTATAAATGTTACCTCACTTATAGTAGCATCGTGACATGGATTAGAGACTTGTGAGGCTAATACAGAACATTATCCAACCTAACAGGCAGCGCATGGGGCTAATTCAGTGTTTGATACAAAAATGGGGCCGATTGGCAAATTTCACAGTGTGACAGTGCAAGAGGTACGAGGAAAGTGCTGAGGCTCAGGTGTCACATTCACACACATACACCATATACAGGACCTACATGAAACATCTCATAGACACAATGCCCCAGCCAAGTTCTGCCAATCAAGCACAACATGTCTGTCTTTGGCTTGGAAAATGGCCTCCATGCTTCTGTGGCTTAATCCTCAATCAGTGGCCAGCCATGCCAACACTCCATATCAATAGACTCCATCAGGCCCCAACGCACACCTGACTGAGAAGGGACTGCACACATAGCCTACAGATACTGGAGCGAAAGCAATAAACCTGAAGAAAAACAAGTAGAGAGAGATATGGGGTGTATCACCGACTGACCGACAAGTCTGGTGTACGCCGTATGAATACTTTATCAATCTGTTCAGACTAGAAAAAAACTGTACAAAAGGTCCATCTAATTGTTTTACCTGGAGCATGTATCATTGCTGTAGGAAAACTGTGGTCTTTCCCATGTGGCCTATCCTGTGCAACTGAATTTGAGCAGTAATATGGAGGTGCTAAGTTGCCATGCTGGAGTGAGCCTGCCCATTCTACCTTTGAGCCACGTGAGTGCGTGAGTGAGAGCCGAGGGGACTTTGGCTGTGTAGGGGATTAGATCAGAAAGCCAAACCAGAACCACTGAGGCGGCCATGTGTGTGTGTGTGTGTGTGTGTGTGTGTGTGTGTGTGTGTGTGTGTGTGTGTGTGTGTCAGGACAAGGTCTAATCACTTAATGAACACGGAACAGCACCACTCCTCTGAGCAGGACAGCCAGATCAACCAGAGGCCTTCCGCTTTCTCCCATCTAATAATACCAGCCAACCACAGCCTGGGAAAGCTCACGGGGGGATTTAACCCACTGGATGGTCCCAGCTGCCACTCATGATCCAGCCCGGCCCATTGGGCGATTACAGTTGCCAGGCCAACCCCTTCCGTGGGGCCTGGGAAAGAGATCTGACAGATTAACGAATAGTTAATGGGCGAATGGGATCTTATGCACTGTCATTAATCTGAATAGGTTTGGCACGGGTCAGCTACACAGACGCCAGTAAGCAAATGATTTTTCTAACACGGAACACACACACACTCATAATGCTGGGCCCCGTTATTGCTGCACATTTGTAACATGAAAATGTAATTCAAAAACCAGGCCAAAAGCATTCAAAATGAATATGTGTTATATGATTACAATTTCCCGCCTGCATGGAACACAGTGAGAATTCTCCAAATTAAAAGTGAATATAACCAGACATGAGCTCCAAGGACACAAGCTACATACTCTTCCACTTACACAGGACATTCTCGTAAATACATCCTGAGGCGTGGATGATCTCAGCGACACCATGTCATTAAACGTCTGTCCCCAACAGGCCATACTACTGCAAGCTCTATACCACCATAAACAGCCATTAGACACTCCTGCGATCTGCTACCTGAAAGAAAGCGGAGTCTAGCTGTGAGTGAGAGATCCTCCTGTAAACGCAAATGATTAAACATGAGTCGCAGGAGAAAGGGAGTCCAGCTAAGGCGTTTTTAACAGTCCGTTTGTTGTGTTAAATGTTAAATTCCCTCGTTAGATCATCTTACTCCACACATTGGACACTGAACTTAACTGCCTATGGATGCAGCATGCTTTGGAATTAAACTCTGATTAGGGATTTCTGGTGGGAGACACACTGTGTGTATTCAAAATGTCCTTACAATCAAAGAGGGGCACCAGTTATGAAGACACACATACACTGACATCATGGGAGGGCGAAGAGACAAACTCTGTTAATGGCCGCTGGGGACTGGCCAGGTGAGTGAAGTGACCAGGAGAATATTTCAAGAAAGCATACTGTCTGAGAGAACGCACAAACATTTACACGCACACACGGCTGCTCAGCATGACCAGCTGGACCGGGTAGGGGAAGTAACGCCTATTGTAGCCGTTTTAGACAACAGATGGGAGGAAAATCTCTCAGCAGAGAGTAGAGGAGAGGAGAAGGAAAAGTCTCCGACTCTCTCTCTTTCTCTCTATCTCTCTCTTTAAGGGTGGTGAGCTTGCAAAACATGCTGCATCTCTCCTGCCATGTCTGCCTACACAGGGCTGTGCCTGCCTCTGTTTCACATGGCTCCACTGGCTGCATGTACTTGACCGCAGAGGATTCTCACCGTACAGTCACCAATGCTGACAACAGCACTCAACTACACCATAGTACTCACACACAAACAAGCCGAGCCAACATACATGCATCACCTAAAACAGCATTAAATACTATGGAACGAAGACCCCTTTTATCATAAATTGTAGGCTACATGTGCATTGCAACTTTGACAAACTGCAGTGTCACTGCTGTCTACGCTGAGATAAAGCATGTGCTCCTTATTCAGGAAGCCCAGTTACATCCCCTGGGGTGTATGAATATAGATCAGTGTAGCTCTTATTTCCCAGCTCTGTGAGCAGCTCGTGGTGTGATCTGTCAAGGTGGGACCTTCTACTCTATATCTGAGGAAACCCACGTATTGCAGTCAGAGCCTATAGGAGAAACGCCTGCCTGCCTGCCTGCCTGCCTGCGGACTAAGAATAGATCAATGTATCAGGCAAATCGGGATTAACGGCGTTGTGCTCCAATCACAGGACACACACACGCACAAAACACACACACGCGCGCGCGCGCGCACACACACACACAAACAGGGGAGTGAGGACACAAAAAGTTGATTTTCATAACCCGTCGCACTGTCATCATTGTTGGCGTTGAACGGTTTCCACGCTGCTTTGCTCCTGGATACACACAAACACACGCGCGCGCGCACACACACACACACACACACACACACACACACACACACACACCCCAGTCCAACGCCAACGCACAACCAACAAACCAATGTAAAGCAACATCACCTAAATCCCCCCCCACCCTCTCCCTTCTCGTCCCACTGTGTTGAAATATAGATGGACAGTTCACCGGCGAAAAAAATAACAACAACCTCCCAAAATTCCCCACCAGGCTGGGCAGGTGTTTGTGACTAAGCGGTTAGTTATCTATCACCTGCAGACACCCAGCCGGCCAAATTTCAACTCGCTGCGGAGCGCTTCGAAAATAAATTGTGCAATTACAGGGGATGCAGTGAGCAAGCTGTCCCAACTAACCTGTCTGTCCTTTCCCGAGCGTCTTCTCCAAACGGTAAGGTCCCACGTAATTGGCATGTTGGGCACCGCTGTTGTCTTTACCGGACGATGACATGTCGAATCTGCGTTCAAATTAAACACTTTGGAATAAAGCGCAGACAATTAAACAGTCCTCGCTGGAGGTCCAAGCCGCTGCTGTCTCTCTTTTTTTGATTTTTTTTTTTTTTTTATTAACTCCACAGCCTCTTCTCTTCTTCCTCTGGCTCTTTCCTCTGTCGCTTTCTGTCTCTTTTCCTCTACCTCACTCGCTGCTTGAGGAGGTGAGGTTCTCTCTTTCTCTCCTCTTTTCTCCTATCGCTGCAGACGAGCCGCAAGTGCCTTGAATATCATTGTCGGTGGAAGCTGTGCTGCCGCTGTGCGTCTGTGGGAGGTGCTGCCGAGCCGTCAGGAATGATTGACAGCGGACGCAGCCAATCAGAGTGCCGAATATCTTCTTATGCTACCGCCCTGTTTCTTGTTGCTGTACCATCTTTGCTTTTTCCAGAAGAGTTGCAGGTTGTGAGCATGTGAGTCTTGGGCCACATATCGTCAAGGTACTGAGTTTATGTAAGAATAATGGAGTTCATAATAACACATTCATAAGTTGTGTGACTATGGGGAAAAAACTAATGATTTATCTTCAGTTTTTCATCAGTTCAAATTCAATCAGTGTTAAGATGTTGACACCTGTTGTTAAAGATCGCCTCCAGACATGTTTTAAAACATAAAAATCTGTGACTGATGTGTTATTTCCACATCAACATTCTGTTATTTCATCAATAATCACATCTAACACCTCTCAGATCCAAAATCTATGAGTATGCAAACATTGTTCATTTAAAAACTTCAACCAATGAACACGTGTCACTGAAAAGTACATTACCAATGGATGTGCACTGGATGTTTCCACATCACATTGGACCATGACTGGCCTTAAGTAGAACTTGTGATATCAGAAAATCGTTTGGTACGTCCACATGATTCACTGAGAGTTAAAGTGAGCACAGAGAAACGTTCGCCCTTCAGCAGATCAGTGTGTAAACTGCTTCAGCTGTCAAATTCTGCACATACACCATTCTGCACGGTGGAGCTCAAACATCCAAGTGAAAAAAACAAGTAAAATTCATTTTCAGCGGATGGGGACTTTTTACTTCTAATGTCTGTTGATTTTGCCTCTTTTATTGATGGGTCTGGATTTGCTATGTACTCTGTGTATGCAGTGTATATATGTGTATGTGCTCCGTCACCTCCAAATTCCCATCAATTCCAGAAAAACCAGTACTCCTATTAAGGAATAATGTTTCACTTGTATTACTGTGGTGTTTCCACACAGAACAACTGCTACACACAAACACATGAACTCACAGCCCTTCAGGGCTGTAGGCTACAAAGTGGTAATTGCCAGCTAGCTGCGTACTGGAAGCTGTTGGCCGATATTGGTTTGGCCAGCACGGTGTGCTAAACCACCATTACGCCAAACACCATCTCTCACCAGAAAGTGTAAAAGCGTTCATAAATATTTATACTGACTTTATTTACTGAGGTGCTGTCGCAGTCAAGAACCACAGTGTAGGAGTTTCTTGTCTCTGCCCCTTGTTCTTTCTTTCTGTCTTTGTCCTTTCCCAGTGCTCTCCTTTCTTTCCCCTCTCTGGCACACACATCACAGAGTGATTGTGTGTGAGTGTGCAGCAGGGGGAGAGTGTGTTGGCCCTCTGATTCATTTCACACCCCACTGGTCTGAGACCTGTGACTGTGGCTCTGGCCTCTGTCTGTTCCTCACACCCTGAGAGAGTACAGGTGTCAGGGGACACATGCAGGAGAAACACACACAGATATTCATGCACACTTACAAACACACTTTGTGACCTCTAAATATTCTTCGACAGAAGGTTGGGGGGGGGGCGGCGGCTGCTGAAATATTAAGCAGCAAGGATTGCATCACTCTGTCGGCTACTCCAAAGGCAAATACATTCCTGAAAGATTCCCAAGGTTTTATCTCAATATTCCTAATAATATGGACTCTACTGTTTCTCCTTGTTCTGTATTTCATTAATTGACTTGATGAGAAATTAAATTGTTGTAGTGCATCATCAAATTGCCATTCTGTTTCCCTCAGCACATACAGACAAAACACAATATTGCTTAAACATTACACAACTATGCTGTGTTGTAGATTTAAACAGGCATTTGCAAGCTAAGTGACGAGGTAAAATTCTACTCAAAGCATAAATCCTGTAGGTAGGAGAGAAAATATTCACATGTAGCAACTCTCACTCAAAACACAAGCAAAGAGAGGAAATGCATCGCAATCCTTCACAAGAACATTTCCTGCCTCCTCACTTTTCATTCATGAAGCTAAGTTTACAAACTGCACATGCCCCAGTTTAGTGCCTTTGAGGTCTGTGTTGTGCATGTGTGCCGTTTCCCCTGATGCCCTTCATCGCACCGGGTGCTGGGTTTGTGCAGGGAGGTGTGACCCAGAGTGTCACCCACGTGACTGCATGGTGCCAGGTGGACCGGGCATGTGATGTCAGCGGCAGGTGCCAGGTGGGCACCATCTCAATAATGCATCATGCCCAGCTCTGGCACTGGCAGGCGTACCACTTTGAAGTGTTCCAGAAACATCTGTAGCTTGAGTTTTTAATCACCTTGCCTGTACCTCCCTGCTTCCCATCAATCCTTCTGCACTTCTTCACAGCCTACATCCCTCTCTCCCTCTTTCCTGCAAAGAAAATTAATGAGAAGTCTTCTTAGTTTGTGTTTGAGCTTGTGTGTTAGTGTGCATGTGTTTATGTGCATGTGTTAACACACAGAGCCACCAAGCTGCAGAATTCAATCAAGAGGATGAGCAAAATTCAAAACAGCTCCTTGTTGTTCTGGATGTTTGCAGAGCAGCAAGGCAAGAATTATCAAAGTGTTGTGTTAGATAACACAAATTTACCATTGGCCAAATAGCAATCAGCTGCAAATGCGGGCGCTAACACTCCACAGGATTTGCATACTAATAGTCCCTTTCCAAACAACCGATCAAACTAAACAATGCTGTAATGACTAAAAATCAATCATTTCATGGAACTGAGTGTACAGTGCCCAGACTTTTTTTTAAATAGAAATTATTGTTTAGTTTATTTTTGGTCAGATGTGTGTGCTAGAGGGAGAGAGAGAGAGAGAGCAAGATGTGATGAAAGATGAGGTGTGCCAGAGAGAAAACAAAAACAGAGGGAGGGGAGAGATAGAGGGAGAGGTTTACCAAAAAGTGGAACATATTTAATGTGTGGCAGGAGTCCAATAACCTCTGGACATGAGCCCAGACTGCATAATATCTCCACCATACAACCATATAATGAATAGCTTTGTATCAGAGTCTGACCAATGCAACAGGGGGCTGTAAACACACTACCTTACTCTAAATGTGTGCACATACACATCCCCGCACTGACACACACACACATACACACACACACACACACACACACACACACACACACACACACCAAATCGTTTAGTATTATGGTGTTTCCACCCAGGAACAACTGCTACACACACAAACACATACACATGAAGTCACAGCCCTTCAGGGTTGTACAAACTGGTTATTGCCAGCTAGCTGCGTACTGGAACTGTTGGCTGTTACCAGTTTGGCCAGCATGGTGTGCTTGATTAATTAGCGTGTCATCCACAAACAGAGGAGACTATTAGTGTTCATCTGCAAACATTTAGGAAACTGGAGAGGAGAGGAATGAATGAAAGGGCGATGAAGGTGGATTTTGGCGGGACCAGACCACCGCCTGACAAATATGAGAGTCATGTAGACTTATTGGCTTGAGTGCAGCATGGAGACTAATGGAAGAAAAGGGGCAGTGACAATTAAAAGAAAGGAGAAAAGCATCAGGAACAAAAGAGAGAAAGTGAAAGACTGCTCATATTCTGCTCAGGTGATGCTGTTTCTCACGATATAGATAACTTACACAGTGGACACAAAAGACAGTGGGGGGGGGATCAAGAGGGTCGCACCCGAGGGAAACAATAGGACAGGTTACTCTCACATGTGTCTCTGCTAGGAAGATATCAGACACTGAGGCTCTCATTTCCATCTGTCACATGCAGGTTTGTGTGCACGCAAGTGTGAGTGAATGCGACTATATGTCTGCTCAAAGGAATAAAAGTTGCATCATAAACTGAAAAGGTAATCAGATCCATATTCTTAACAAAGATGTGGCTTTGAGGGTAACACAAGAAGGTTTGTTAAAAGCACAGAGCAGGTGTCTTGTGGTCACATGTACATGGAGATAAAGTCTCATAATTATCCAGACACTGGAGGACACTTGCATGTCTCCCAGTCTGCACGAGGACTTTGGAGTGTGGAACACTTGAGCTTCTGCCACTTCTGTATGCAAATTAGTGGGATCACACACACACACACACACACACACACACATGTGAGCAAACACACTCAAACACACACACATATGTTCCACTATCTAGTATGTTCATGTACCATGATCAGTGGTCGACTGGTGTTCATTTCAAATGTCACTACAGTGTGCTGGTTGTACACTGAAATGCCCATGAGTGAGGCTGTGAAGGGAATTCTCACCAGAGGGAATAAGGCTCTCTCCACAGACACACACACACACACACACACACGCACTCACACCCACGCACACACACACACATACAGAGATACACAGCTGCAGCTCCACTGCCCCCTGCTGGTTGGAAAAACCCATAATCTTTCATTCCCAAAACCCCCGACCTCCCCCCACAGAGACCTCCATAATGCTCTTATAATAGGATATAGAAACACTGATTGTCCCTGTACAATTATGACAATACGCACTTTTATCAGACAAGATCTCGGCAGAGCAACACAGAGACACTGTCTTGAATTTTCTCACGTCTAACACTGTTCCACACATCTCACCTCTCTCTACCGCTACTGACATCATGAAATCACAACCACAGTCATCTGACCCAGTTTGCTTCTGTTTCTTCTCTGTGGTGCTGCAGCCTTCAAGCCCTTAACAGCTCTGTTAACAGCGAAATATACTCCGGAGTAAAGGTGGATTTCTCAGGCCTGTTGTGAGTCTTAAGACAGAAAATTATATCCCAGTACCTGCACA